CATCATCATCTTCAATGTCTCCTTGGATGTAAGGAAACTTTGCATCATCGACAGCAACCTTTCCGCACTCAGCAACAGTTTCTTTGATGGTTGTTAAATCTCGGCCATGTATCAAAACACTTGCTCCCTCCTTGGCCAATAAGATTGCAGTTGCTTTGCCAATGCCACTACTCGAACCAGTAACTATGGCACACTTTTCTGAAAACCTCATTTTACTAACTGTAGAATGCTTATACATTCGAAAAAATCTAATATCTGATGGCCTTATTTCACTGTCTGTATTTTCAAATAGCGGAATTATATGCATTCTCATAAGGAGTCATGTTGACCTTTTTTGTAAATACACTTACGTCAAAACTGCTTCCAATTGAGCCTGAATCCTTGTCATGTTCTGCACTTACTTTGTGTAAATATGAATCAGAAATAGGAGTATTTACCTTATTTGAGGTAACAAGTTGATATAGTATTGGCAGTATTTCAAGTAGCCTTTTTTACTCATATGATGGATGAAGCAAGGTCATAGAAAGGGCTGGTTTTAAGGCCAGAGTGCACTTTGGATTTGTTTGCAATTTTGAAAAGTAAATGGAAATCAACCTTGCCAAATGTTTTAGTGGCAGTTCCATGAATGCTCTTCAGCACATTATCACCTTCAACAACTCCTTAGATGTAAGGAAACTTGGCATAATCGGCAGCAACCTTTTCACATTCAGCAATAGTTTCTTTGATGGTTGTTAAATCTCGGCTATGTATCAAACCACTTGCTCCCTCCTTGGCCAATAAGATTGGTGTATGTCATATGGGGGGGGGGGGGGGGGGATTTTCACCCTATTATTCATATGTTAGATCATGGGTTTATGGTCACAAATGTTGTTGGTGTTATAAATCTAATATGTTACATCCATATTATATTTAAGGACTCATATAGATGGAAGATGTATTGATTTTTTCAAGATAATCAAGAATAAACTCCCATCATCCAAAGTCCATATAAAGATAAACTTCTATTTTATTACTACATGTCTACCATATACATCATGTCTTAACATAATTACATTTATTGTTCATGTTGCTTTCAGAAGTATAATGGATGACTCGAGATTGTTTGAACATGCTTCAAATAACAAAATTAAAGTGGGTATAACCTAATTAATCATTATGGTTTGTTATTCTATATAAAAGGGATTTTGGGAGATACAAATGACAAAATATTGCTTCTATGACGAGATCAAATGACTTTGACATGTTGTTTACCCTGCCTATTTTGTAATTTAACAATCAATGCAAGTAAACCGCCCACTGCAGATTCATAAAATTCAAATACAAATTCATGAAAAAAATTTGTTTTGATTGATAAAATCATTGATTATAAAACCGGAAATGTGTTCTGTGACGTCGGTGTGTGAATATTTCAATTATTCAGATTTTGCTGTGGATTCGACTTTAAATGCTTCTAAATGATCTTCTAATGCTTACTATGATTTCTATTAGTAATGTTTTGACTCCCCCACTTCATTAAAACAACATTATCACCATTTACTTGACTCTAAAATTCACTTCCAGTCTATCGCAATAAAGATGAGCTGAAAGTTGTCATGATCACCTTTCAATCCTCAGACCAAATATGGCTTTTCAAGGTTCAGTAGACTTTGAATGGACCTTCGTGCATAGTTCGAAAATAGAATCATCATAGAAAGTTTAAAACCATGAAATCAACTGGAATACGATAATGCCAAATAAAATATCCTATTAACATATATTCTTTTTTTATTTCAAAAGATAATATCTCCTCCTATTTCCCCGATCCATTAGTTATTTTTTGATTTAGTGAAACAAATGATTCAAACAGATTCAAGTGAATAATCAGGAATATATGCACATCTTTTAATCCATTGAATATACAAGGTGTCCCAAAAGAATTGTACCCAAATAGAAACAAAAAATAACTCTTTTCAGATGCATTTATATTTGCAATCTTGCATGAAGACAGTCTTGTCTAATCATTACCTTATCTCATTAAGTTAATTGGTCACAGACTTTAAAAAGTTTACAATGGTGATTCAATCTAAAAAGTCCTTGCCAGAGAATCCTACTTGGTTGCATTTTCCAAAATTGCCTTATCGAGTCCAATCAGTGAATATCCACCATCTTGAACAACACATGCACCATTCATCATTGATGCATCATCAGACGCCAGGAATGCAATCAATTTGGCAGTTTCATCCATGGTTCCAATTTTACTTGTTGGGACGCATCTTGCTACATTGGAGCAATGTTCTGCCTCTAAATCTTCTGGAATACCTGCTTTCTTAAAGGCTGGAGTTTTCACCAAGCCTGGACATACAGCATTGACACGGACTCCTTGGCCTCCAAACTCTAATGCTGCACACTGTGTGAACATGTTCATCCCAGCTTTAGCTATACTGTAAAAGGGTGCCATGTCTGATACTTTGCATCCAAAAATACTTGAAATATTTAAGATATTTCCATTGTTTTGTTTCAATTCTGGCAAACACATTTGAGACAGATGGATAGGTGCCCTTAATAGGACTTTAACCAGGACATCAAACAACAGCAGCGAACCTGATGTTAGATCATGCATTATACCATATCCTGCATTATTTACTAAGATATCAATCTTGCCAAATGTTTTAATGGCAGTTTCATGGATGCTTTTCAGCACATCATCATCTTCAATGTCTCCTTGGATGTAAGGAAACTTTGCATCATCGACAGCAACTTTCTCACATTCAGCAACAGTTTCTTTGATGGTTGATAAATCTCGTCCATGTATCAAAACACTTGCTCCCTCCTTGGCCAATAAGATTGCAGTTGCTCTGCCAATGCCACTACTAGAACCAGTAACAATTGCACACTTTCCAGAAAATCTCATTTTGTTTATTCTTGATTGCTGGGTTATTAATTATTTCTTTATTCACTATTTAGTGTTGTTATCAATAAAGTGATATAAATACAACACACAACTGCGTTTGTCCTTTTACGTCGTGCCAAACAAGTAAGATGATGATAGTTCAACTAGTTAATCAATACCTTTTGTTTCAATTATGTAAGACCATGTAAACAACTTCGTTTTCAATAGATATCTAAATGTCAATATGTTTTTGACATTATGTAATGATATACACTGTTGCTCATAAATATTGAATATTACATTTGTCAGATCAGTATTCAAGATTTGGAGGAAGACAACATTTATTTGGAGTCGTTTAAGCAATTTATTTATTTTCTAGGCAAATCATAAACAAATCATCTACAAATCAACATTTTTAGGAAAAAATATTCACATTTAAGTTTAGAAATTTCCTGTCGTTTAAAATGGTAGTCTAAGGGTAGTCTAAAAAAATTGCATTTTCAAAACAACCCGACCCAAATTTTAATGTAGAGCGGATCAAACAAACTAAGATGAATAAGTCCCCTATCCCATAGCAGCACGGTGGTATCTCTTCCTAGTGCTGCAATCAGAGCATCCATCCAGCGGGGCCTGGTGTCATTTAGATGTCTGACCTGTCTAAGCGAAATAAGGTCCCACTACTCACTCAGAGGAGTATATAACTCTGCTAAATTTTGAGATAGGGGATCCATGTCACGAATTGCGCTATCACTCTCATCCCACATGTGCTCTGTATGAGCCTGATCAGGTGACTTTGGTGCCTATGGTAGCTTCTCCACATTGCCTGTCCTGGGGAAATCTGCATAATGCAGCTATAATGCTCATGAGTTTCATCATGCTGCAGTTGAAAATTACGCCCAGACACTCTGTTTGCATGTGGTACTAGATGTAGGTCCAAAAGGTCACTGTATCTCTCACCGCTGACAGTACAGTTGAGACTCACCAAGGGGGTGCAACTCTCCTTGGTGAACACCACCTCAAATATGAACAGAACCACCTCCACGATCTACTTTTAATAACAATCAGTTTTATGTGCAAATATGTAGAGGAAATCGGGAGTCAACAAACATTTTTCAAACTATTATTATCATTTGTAAGAATTATACCAAACAATTAAGATATATAATAAAATAAAATTTTCAACTGCAGCATGATGAAACTCATGAGCATTATAGCTGCATTATGCATATTTATGAGCAACAGTGTACTTCTCTCGAAACGAGAGCTTTCAAATTCAAGAAGTCAGTTTTACAGGTACACAAAATATATTGCAGAGTATTCCTTTTGATATTATAATTATATAAACAAGCCTGCAAAATATCAAAACCTCATAATCACATCATAATTAAAATGTTGTAGTTGCTTTGAATCATCAATTCCTAAAGGCCCCAGCCAGAGTAAGAAAATATTGTTCAATCATCAAAATATAATTTATCATGACTTAAAAAGTGTTTTGGAAATTTTCTGAAAAAGTTGACTTTTGAAAAAAAGTTATTGGTATTCTCATTTTTGAATATTTGAATTTTACCGCCATTTTAGCAGCAAAAGTTTAAAGATATTGACCATCAAATACAACACTTTAATCGATAAAACACATTATTTTCTACACTCCATTGGATAGATCAAGTAAAAATTACATAATTTCAACAAATACTTAATTTCAAATTCGCGCATTTAATTCTATATAAATTTTTAAAATTTGTAATCCAATCCCGCTTTGGCTATACTGTAGAAGGCACTGTTTTACTTCAGGTTTTAAGAATATTTAATCAAAGAAATTCGAAAAAAATAAGTTGGTAAAATTTTTGTGAAAACATAGAAAGTATCAATCATGATATGATTCCTATATTACGAACAAAACAAAAGATATTGAAGCATTTAAAAACTCAAAAAGTCCATTAATATATTTTGTCCAAAAATACTACACGAAGGCCTTAATTGAGTTTCTTGAACTTGTCAAACCAGACATATATATGAGACATTATATGTTTAAATGCAACAGCTTAAAGTTGAATTAAGCTACATTAGCTTTTTAACAGATTACCTTATGAAACAAACCCAACAAATGGCAAAGTTAGAAGAAATTTCTTCATTTCAGAATGTAGTGCTGATGACACTGATGGTGTTCAGCCTAAACATAAGCCCAATTACATCAACTGATGCCACACAGTTTACTGTAAGGGATGGGATACTGAAACTACCTATAAAGGACACAAGCATGAACCGGCTTTATCTGATCAACAAAAGAATTTCAACAATAGGAGCTGGTGAATTTTCTGGTTTACTTTCTTTAGAAACATTGTTCTTGAGTGACAATGAACTATCACAGTTAGAAGTTGGTACATTCACTGGTTTGGTATCTTTGGAATGGCTAAACATGGACAACAATAGACTATCAGAAATAACATTCAGTGATTTTTCTGATTTTGATGGATTATTGAAAGGGCTATACCTGAGTAACAATAGCCTAAGAATACTGAGAGGGAATTATTTCTGTAACCTAACATCCCTCAAAGATCTTACGCTCAACAATAATGAAATATCACATATAGAGGCTAATGCATTTTCTGGCTTGACGGCATTGGAAAAGCTATACTTAAGTAACAATAAACTCACAATATTAACTAATGGGATATTCTCTGACTTGATATCCCTAAAATACCTCCTACTTCCAAGAAATCTACTTTCACAAATAGAGGTTGATGCTTTTTCTGGTTTGCAGTCATTAAATCAGTTAAATTTGGAGTACAGTAAGCTTACAATATTAGACAGAGGGTTGTTCTGCAAATTGGAAAGACTGACATTTTTAGAGTTGGCAGGAAATAATCTAGATCCTTCACAACCTACTAACCTTGATGCAATAAGGGAACTTTGCTTGGCATTAATGATTTTACCAACCCAACAATCAACCCAAACAACCCAATAATCAACCCAAACAGGCCCCTAGCCAGGGGGGTTCGCAGGGTTCGGGCGAACCCCCCCCCCTGGCCAAAAATTCTTTCAAAATCATGCAGTTTTTGACCATTTTGAGCACTTCTCTAGTGATTTTAGCCTAATTTGGGCCAAAATTGTCAAATGTGAACCCCCCCTGGAAATTTTTGAAAATTGAACCCCCCCTTGGCAAATCCTGGCTACGGGCCTGCCAAATATCTGAACTATCAACCCAACCAACAGTTCAAACAACTTCACCATCAATCCAACAACTACTACCTAACCGAACAACCCAGTCATCAACTAAATTGACCCCATTATCAAGTCAAACAAAAAGCAAAATTTTCATTTTTACTTCAGTATGTGGAACTTATTCAATCCTTGTAATTATCATGGGTGTGTCAGTTCTTTTATGTAACAAGAAAACCAAGAAGGTTAACCAACAATCATTAGGTGACAGAGACCATGAATATGCTTACCCAAATGTCAACAATAGTACTCGTCAGACATCTGAGTACAATGAGTATGTCGACACCATTGTTTACAAGAATTCACATGACATGGCTCACTATACTGGCAAAGGTCATTACTATGATAATGAAAATTTAACCAGTATTACACATGCCACAGTTCAGCATACCGATTTAGATGATCAGTATCTCGTCCCCACTGTTGACAAGAATGCACATGACATGCGTCAAGATTCTGATCCAGACAATCTATATGACGACATAATGCCAACAGCTTTTACACATGACACAACTTGGGATGCTGATCAAGATCAAGATTACATTGATCCAGATGTCATGATCAATGAAGGTGAATGTGAACAAAACAACTATCTTCAATTAATAAACTAGATAAACTAGACAACCAAAACCCACCAAGTGCAACTTGCCCCGAGAGAAAACAGGTACATGTAAGCATTATACTAGTACCCCCAGGGTTTACTGTTACACCCATAATTCTTTTTTCCGGGACCCTATTAACAGTTTTTTACTTTATACCTTTATACCCAGTTGGGCTTAAGTATACTAAATAATATGAAGAGGACAACTAATCTTTAGATGACCATAAGTCTACATGTTCATGAACAAGTTCTTTAAAATGAGTAGCTTAACCCCCCAATGTCATTGTTAGAAAGTGGGTCGACAAGAACATTCACCATTTAATAATTTAAGGATTTAAGCCCGGGACACAATTAATTCTAGGATGATCTAACAAGAGACTTTGAATGAGTGTGGCAGCCCATCTTTGTCTAACCTTATATTCACGAATGCAACTAACACCCGCCGGCTACCAGATTAACCTACTATTTTATGGCCAACTCATTTAAATATGAATAGAATAGCACGTACTATTCATATTTAAATGAGTTACCCATAAATAGTAGGTTTATCAAGTAGCCAACAGGCGTAGCTAAGATACAAGACACAAGTGATTGAGTCACCTGCTTAAATTTTTTTCACACATTGCTCTTCATCCTACCTGAACATTGCATTTATGTAAATTATGACTATTATTGTATGTGTAAAATCCACTGTATAAAATGTATCTTCACAAGCCAATAATGTGCAAACGTGGGCTTGTTTGTCCATATTCATGAATTTCTGTTTAAATTGTATGTTATATGATTCATATATGGATATAAAATAACCTTAAAAATTGCAAGACATTTTGTACAGTATAACTTAAAAGCATTCAATAATTCAGGCATAGCTATGTGTGAATTACCTATGGTGAACATTGAAGAGTAAAAATGCAATGTGATTGGTTGAGATGATTTAGCCATGACTAGATATAATAAATATATATGTATGAATCTTCTGAACTGTTTTGAAAAAGACACTTTCAGTAAACTTATGTACAACAACAAAAAAACACACATAAAATATTGCACATGTATTGTGGTGTGGTGGTATTTATAACAATATTGTCTACCCTGTAAAAATTCTTTTATTATCTATAATAAAAAAATCTGAAATTGTAGTTTTCTGGTGCATTTTATTTTCAAACTGGGATTGTGGTTCTTGAATGATGACAAGAGGAATAGGGGAAGGGGGTATTTTCACACTATTATTCATCTCATATGTTGGGTCATGGATTTAGAAATGTTGTTGATGTTATGATTCTAATATGTTACATCCATGTCATATTTATTATCTCATATAGATGGCAGATGTGTGTTGATTTTCAAGATTGTCAGGAATAAACTCCCATCATACAAAGACCGTATATAGATAAACTTCTATTTTATTACTATATGTCTATCATATACATCACGTTTTAACATAATTACATTTATTGCTCACATTGCTTCAGAAATAAAATGGAAGACTCTAGATTGTTTGAACATGCTTTGAATAACAGATTTAACAGGGTATAACTTTGCAAAATAGTATCTGAGCTAACCAAGCATTACTATGGTTTGTTATTCTATATTAAGATTACAAAAGATATAAGGAATATGATAATGCAAATAAAATATCCTATTAACATATATTTTTTTATCCTATACCAAGTAGAGTTTTAGGGAGATAAGTTGGTAAGATATATCCCTTATCCTGATTTTGAGGTTTCCATATCCTGAACCTCCATATCTCCCGCCATATCTCCCGCACCAGGGCATATCTTCCCGCTTCAAATTTTTTTTAAAAATAAGAAAAATTGAAAAAAAAGAAAAAATGTGAATTTTTTTTTTAAAAAATAAAGAATTCACAAAAGAAAAAAAGAAAAATTTGAAAAATTTGAAAAAAATTGAAAAATATGAAAAAATGAAAAAATGGTATAGGATAAAGCAGTTATGTATGGTCGGTTTGGATATTGGGTTCATCCCTCGTGAGATATGTACATCTACCCTCGGTCCCTATGGTCCCTCAGGTAGATATGCATATCTCCCTCTTGATAAACCCCATATCCAAAACCTCCCAGTACATAACCCTTATTTATATTTCTAAAGATATTATCTCCTCCTCTTTCCCCAATCCATTGGTTATTTTTTGATTTAGTGAAAGTGATGATCCTAACCAATTCAAAGTGAATGTTCAGGCATATATGAATATCGTGTAAGCCATTGAATGTACAGGGTGTCCAATAAGAATTGAACCCAAATAAAAATAAAGGTAACTCTTTTTTCAGATGCATTCATATTTGCAATCTTGCATGGAGACAGTCTTGTCAATCATTGCCTTATCTCATTAAGTTAAATGGTCACAGACTTTAAGAAACTCATGATGGTGATCCAGTCTTATTAGTCCTTGCCCGTAAATCCTACTTGGCTGCATTTTCCAATGTAGCCTTGTCGAGTCCAATCAGTGAATTTCCGCCATCTTGAACAACACATGCACCATTCATCATTGATGCATCATCAGACGCCAGGAATGCAATCAATTTGGCAGTTTCATCCATGGTTCCAATTTTACCTATTGGGACACATCTTGTAAAATTGGAGTAAAATTCCAGCTCTGCATCTTCTGGAACACCTGCCCTCTCAAAGGCTGGAGTTTTCACCAAGCCTGGACATACAGCATTGACACGGACTCCTTGGCCTCCAAACTCCAATGCTGCACATTGTGTGAACATGTTCATCCCAGCTTTAGCTATACTGTAGAAAGGCATCAGGTCTGATACTTTGCATCCAAACACACTTGAAATATTTATGATATTTCCATTGTTTTGTTTCAATTCTGGCAAACACATTTGAGACAGATGGATAGGTGCCCTTAATAGGACTTTAACCAGGACATCAAACAACTGCAGTGATCCTGATGTTAGATCGTGATATATACTATAACCTGCATTATTCACCAAGATATCAATCTTGCCAAATGTTTTAATGGCAGTTTCATGGATGCTTTTCAGCACATCATCATCTTCAATGTCTCCTTGGATGTAAGGAAACTTTGCATCATCGACAACAACCTTTTCACATTCAGCAACTGTTTCTTTGATGGTTGTTAAATCTCGACCATGTATCAAAACACTTGCTCCCTCCTTAGCCAATAAGATTGCAGTTGCTCTGCCAATACCACTACTCGAACCAGTAACAATTGCGCACTTTCCAGAAAACCTCATATTACTAACTGTAGTGTAGAATGCTTATACATACGAAAAAAATCTAATATCTGATGGCCTTATTTCACTGTCTGTATTTTCAAATACCGGAATTATATGCATTCTCATAAGGAGTCATGTTGACCTTTTTTTGTAAATATACTTATGTGAAAACTGCTTCCAATTAAGCCTGAATCCTTTACTTTGTGTAAATATGAATCAGAAATAGGGGTATTTACCTTATTTGAGGTAACAAGTTGATATACAGACAGTATGTCAAGTAGCCTTTTTTACTTAGATGATGGATGAAGCAAGGACATTAGCGCAGTCAGATGTCCAGAAATGAGCCCTTTATAGTTCGACTTTTTCAGGAAAGCAACAAACTTGGCACAGTTGTAGAAACACTTGATCTGAGTGGAAAATGATTTCGGGGCAAGTGATCCGGAGTGGTCTTCATGGATTTTTTAGTCGCTGACCCCAACCCCTATCAGGCGGGGAGGGGGTACATTATAAAAAATAAATAAAAATGGTTTTGAAGTAAATTTTTTTAAATGACTTCATTTGGTGATTGCTCTGAGCCTTGAAATTGAGACAAACCGATTGTAGAAGTGGTGTTTAGTGAGGAAAATACATTTTGACCCAATTATCTAGCGTGAATTCATATTTTAAAGGGTCAAATATGGGACATCAAGTTCTGTATTTCAAGAATGTGATGTCTGATCATCTTGGAAAAAATCATACTAATAGGGGTATAGGTGTTCATCACAAATATAGAATATGGCTTGGGTAGCTCATGTATTTTTTGAGATAAAAATTATCGAAAATTGAATTTTTAAGCCCTTGCGGCCTAGGGGTAGCCTTATTCTACCTTAATAATTTTTAAGATATGCAATGTATGGGTCTCATATGAGCTCAAAATGGTGCATTGAGTCTTGTTTTGTCATATTATTCCTAATTGGATTGAAAAATGATTGGAACTTTTCAAAAAAAAAAAAATTTCATTATCGCTTCTGAAGGGCCAGGGGTAACCATATTTTACCTTGATAACTTTCAAGGTTTGTAATATATGTATCTCAAATTAGCTCAAGATGGTGCATATAGTTCTGTTTAATCATAATACCTCCAATAAGATGTAGAAAATGATTGGACATTTCTTAAAATTTGAAATTTTCATTTTAGCTTATGATGGCCTGGGGGGGGGGGGGCTTATTTAATCTTGAACTTTTCTTAATTATGAGATGTATGCATCTCAAATGAGCTTAAAATGGTGTCATATACTCTTGTTTTGTCATATTATTCCTTAGGAGATGTAAAAAATGATGGAAATTTGAAAAATGACATCTTTAGCTTTTGACAGGTCAGAGGTGATTTTATCATATATTACCATAATATAGAAGCAAAGGATGGAGTGAGTTTAGCAGCCCCGTCCCCATGACCAATGCCATTGGCAGCTTGGGTCTTAAAGCATTTATGAACCAAGCTGCAATAAACCATGCTGACCTATTCTCAACCAATCAGCGAGCTTGAAGGAACAAGTGCTAAATGCGTGTACATTAATGATGCGATTTCGTCAAGAGAAAATGACCATATAGAAAGCCGTCCTTATTTCGACAACAAACTCTGATTAGCGCAGTGAGTTCAGAGATTTATTGAAAACTGATAGAGTGAAGACGAAGCTCTCTTTTGAGAAGGAAAGTCGAATGAATGCAAAGGGTAGTAAGTCCAGTCACCTTAGCCTGATGGGGGGGGGGGGGGGTTAAGGTGAGCTGCTTCTGTCAAGGATTCTGTCAGTGAATAATGACAGCCAATGATTGGGCACAAGAATGCCAAATGTTATTAATTTTCAAGATAAAATGATCTCAAAATGGGGAAAATAGTCTGATTTTCACTTTATTCCTACTGAGATAATGATTAACAACAATTAGAAAACTCAGTGACACATTTAAATGTCAATCGATTTATTCCATTTTAGCACTACCAATAGCAGTAGAATCCAGTTGTAACATCACATCCAATGATTGTATGAAAAATGGGGAGGGTTAAACTTTGGCCATGGGCAGGTAGATATTGATAGGATTTCTCCCTTACCATATGCTATCCAAATTGACTTTTTCAGTTTTTAATATCACATATATGCCAGGATAACCACATCAGAATTAATTGTAAGGAGTATTATTCTTTCTCTTGAAGGCCATGATTGAAGCAGTCTTACTGAAAATATTGAGAAATATCCTTGAATCTGCTTCTTCGTAAGAGCAATGGCAGAACCTCACTGTTGGGCTAAAACATTGCATTGCCTCCTTAATTTATGTGGTCACTATCTTCTTTCCATCCATTTCAAGGGTTT